TGTAATTTTTATGTTAACAATAAGAAGCTCTCCCCCCTTTCTCCCGGTGGCTCACCGGTAAGTGTAAAGACTTATAACGCTAAAAACCGGGATTCGATATCTGTAGTGGATACAGCACACATAGCCCATTGTGTAACTTTACGTTTAACAACAAGCTATTTTATCTGATTTATATTTGCCTAATTAAAAGAATGAAAATACGGATGTTCAACAACATTTTCTAAAGACAAATTGGTTCTGTAGTCTCCAAACATCGACTTCTCATTGTTTTCTTCGTTATTTCACTCATATTTCAATTTACTTTGGAATTTTTAATTGTGTTTTTGACATTCTGAATTTAAATGTTTGTACAATGAAACGTTCTATTTATTTCTGGAAAAATCTGGGTTTGAGTTCCAATCAGATTATGCACGATGTATTTGCCCTGAAACATAGTACCCGACACAACTTGAAAATGGTGCCAAATCCCACATGCTTGCATGTATATATTTACATGTGATGCAGTTTGATTTAGGGCTAGCCTGACCTTGGTAATTCATTTTTTGTGCAAATATGTTTTCCTCAACTGTAAAGGTAGTGTAAAATGGTGCGTGGAATAGAATATATAGTGATAATCATTTAATTTCTCCTTTGTCTGATTGCATAGGCCTGCGAATTTCAACTTTATAAAAGTTGTTTTGGTTTTAATAAGAGATTTTCCATAATTCAGTTATGCAGATTTCGAAAATATTCATTTTTTTCCTATCACGTAAGGATTTTTTTGCATACAAATCGGGAAGAAAAATAACTTGTATCAAATTATTTCGTTTACCACAATGAACGTTTATTTATTCATTCATTGTTATTACTATTATTATGTTTGTTAACAAAAATTCAAACAAACTAAAGAAAATGGATGAACGTTGATGTCAAACGAATATGCATCATCATTCATCCCGATTTATGTGTATGAAATTACGTCTTTTAGTCTAAAAATTACGTGTTGTGGTCTTGTGTATTGCATTATGACGTTTTGTGAAAAATCTGTACGTGATGGAGAAAAATGGACATCACTTTCAGATTCAACATACAGTAATTATTGTAGGACATGTAAAACTTAAGACAGTAAAACCATCGCAGGCCTGTGTTATCTATACATATCGATTAGCTGTTGTTCCGAAACAATTGTTATCATAATGTCTATGGGGTTTCGAGTCCGTTTTATTTCACCATATAGTAACCAAAGTTTAGATATGCGAATAACGTTCGTCTATTCGAGGCTCATCAGAACTGCTGTTAAAGATAAAGTAAATCATACTATTGTTGTTGGAGTTATTGCTCATGTTTGCATTTGTAATTATGCTACGAGATAGTTTATGACCGTCTGTCAATTTTGTCGGTTCCAGATTGGGAAAATATAAGAGATCTAGTTTTTCCACTACACAGTCAGCACACAACAGTTTAACACATTTTTTGTCATTAGAGAACACAAATGGTTGGTTTTACTTTGAAAATTACCTTTTACTCTCTCAACATTTAGGCTCACGTAATGAAATTTGCCTTGTATTTCCCCAAATGCAAAACTCACTTCCTCTTCACACACACTAAGAACGTAAAAATTCGTAAACTGTATTAAAGTATGCTCTGTTTGTAACGTCTGGCAGAATCATTTATTTTAAAATTATTGCCAATACTAAAGTAGAAGTTTATTCCAAAGAAAGTTAAATGGTAGATATACAATTATAATTAGTAAAACACAATCGATAATTTCCCTTGCTGGTGAAAATTCTTTTGACTGCTAACCATATTGTGCTTGTGAACAGTGCCAAGAAGTTAATAAATGTAGTCCAAAAAAAAACAAAAAACAAGTCTATGAATCAAAATCCTGATGATGTGCCTAAATCATTTAAGTACGGTAGTACTTAATAGTGGGAATAGTGACGAAACAAAATGGCGGCCATAAAAAAAATCGCCCGTTTAAAACCACCTTTAAAATGTCCGAATATTAACAATGACTATTTCGCAATATTGGCTAAGCAAATCTAAAGCTTATCGTACTTATAAAGCAGTCTAAATTGTTATACAAGTGTTTTTGAAGTGAATTAAAATTTCACTATTTCAACGAATTTTCTTTCATCCAACGAAGTGACTTTTCCAGATAAGCGTACAGAAAAAATGACGAACGTTATCGCTCTAATTCTTTCACAGAACTCTTCCGTCTTGGGCCCCAATGATTCCTTTCTTGTATCGAAAGATATACAATAATGTGTGTTTGTGTATATATATACACACCTACCTACCTACTTTGGCTCAGATAAGCAATTATAGTGATCTGCCAAAGTAGGGATAAAATTTAAATAACTCAGTTTTTGCAATTTTGAATTTCTATATTACTATAGCTAGCTAGATTACGTATATATCGATCCCTAGTTATCTGTATAAAATTAATTATTATTTTTATTATTAGACTAGTATAACTAAACAGACTCAAGATCAGGGGTATTTTGGAGGAAGGCAGTCAATGTTTAATGACTGAGAGTGTATCCAAGGGTCATGTTGATAGAATGAACATCCTCAATTCAGCTCCTACATTCGAGTCCTCATACGTACATCCAGGCTATTAATTTAAAACGTATGACATTAAATTGCAAAATAAGGCTAATCGTCAGCTGCGCATGCCAAATAGTATTTTAAGGAAAATACTATCATAACCTGACTGGGGCTCAAACCCAGGTTTTACAAATTACAGACTCCAGATATCTTAGGATTAGTCCTAAAAATGTTCAATGCGCAGGCAGTTTTTTATTGCTCGATCCTCATATAATGGGCATGGGCGTTCGCGGGTGGGGGTGGCAAGAGTGGGCACTCCCCCCCCCTGGTAAATGAGAAACGTAATTCTTTCTTTATTTATTCAACATAGGTATACGAATTTTTTGTTCAATTCACAATTTCACACTAATTTGCCCCTCCCTAAAAAAATGTCCGTGGACGCCCCATTGTAATGGGCTATTTATCTAAGCTGACATATTGGAGTTGCTGAAACAATCATTGATCGTCTTAATAACGATCCAGGCATCTGTAATATATCTAACTGAAAATACTGTGAAGCAAGTGATAATGGCTTTAAAAGACTGCGAGGTCATCTTAGAATATAAATGTTGAAACAATTAATCCAAATGTAAATAACTACAATCTGATAAACTATCAAAATCTAATGATAAATGTTCATGTATTGCATACTCTAATACCATTCTTTCTGTTGTGGTTTTATAAACTATATCCAAAGAAATAATACAAGTACCATTATTCCACAAACACTTGCGGTTTTATGCACATACAACGCAATGGGGCCCCGAGGCAGCAAGGGGGCCCTTGCAGTCATGCCTCAGCTATATCGCGTGTTTGAACTCACTTGGCAACAAGTTAAAAGTAATTTCCTTCTCTTTCATTGGTTTTTAATATTAATACTAAATCTAAAATAAATTCTAACTTTCAAATTTTATAACTCTGAGCAACTGTTTGTTGCGATTAATATAGTACATTTGGTTATCAAATTATCAATACAAAGCGAAGTTGTTGCCCAGATTGAATGTTATTGTATTATAGCATACGTAGTACTATTGAACAGGGATACAAGGTCCCCGGAATCGACCTTCGAATCGGTCACCGCGGGATAAACGCCGCCACCGACTTAATTATAAATTAAACTTTCATTAACCGGATAATAAAAATGTTTAAGTAAACATTTTACGGAGTTTAGTACAGGATGTTCGGCCATCACGTATTCTGGGCTTGAGCACACAGGTTGTCATACATGTATGATAGGTAACACCTAAGCCTTCCCCTGTCTTTCGTATCCCAATTCACAATATAGGCCTATTCAAACGTCTCAAGTCTTGCTTCCTCCGCCATTTTGCTTCCAGGGAGGGCCTGTGGTTAGCATTCCGGACTATGGAGCCGAAGTTCTATGGTGCACAGCCGTTAGAGAGAAAAACAAAACAAAAACACCGCGCTCCGCTCTTTGGGGCCGTGGGTACGTCTTAAGCCAAGGGTAATAGCCAAATCTCACTATTCGATTATGGTAGCGAGAGAGATGGTGATGTTGACTAGCTGCCCTCCCTCAAGTAAATCACTTCAAAATTTCAGACTGTCAGTGCCAGCAAAGATATGGAGATAGCACTTATAAGTTATAAACTTAACCTTGCACGAAATCCAAACAAACAAACAAATAAGCTCCCTGGAGAGCAATAATAATCTCGCTTGGCCATTATCAGCACAATAATGATTCACTAATAAATAAGTACGGAAAAAAATTAGAGTCTGTTATTTGAAGAAAACAAGAAAATTACAAGAATAAACTGCAATGAATTAAAGTGCAAACAGGGTAATGTGGTACATATACTTAAGCCTACCTCTTCCAGCGTTATCAGTCTATTTCACCACCTTGTCATGCCGTATGAAAAGGCACGTGACTTTTTACTGCTATGGAAACGATTTTTTACAGCGGTATAAAAGTTTATACCATGACACAAAACAAAACAAAAATCTGAATAAAATCGACAAATCGAAGTTACATTACAAAAACTATAGAAAATCAAAATTACAATAAAAAAGCAAAATAAAATAAGAAATTGATGCTCACTTTGGGATTTTGTATCTGAAACTAGAGCCTAGAGGTGGACCAGAACAGTATCATTTATTTTAGTTTTTTCTATTCTTACTATAGTCTACAGGTGGGTTAAAACAACATCTCTTTTTGTTATCATTGTTGATATAATATCCCAATAGTAGACTTCACTCGTTTGTCCAGTTTTCATTGGTAATGTTATAGCATATAAGTAAACTACAACCATACTGCTCGTTTTCTTTTTACTGCTAATCTTATGGCCTATGTTAGAACAATAACTGTAGAAAAAATTAGTGTACTAATACAATGCAAACTACAAATACAACATATTGCTTTAACTCTTAGATTTTCAAAGGACTAACAATTAATACGTGAAAAGTAAATAAGAACATACTATTTTATCCAATCTTCGAAACTTTTCAATAAAAGAACACTTCTCACGTTCTGCCTCTCAAAGTCTAACACAAGCTGTGACAAAGGAAAGATGAGTTGTACTAGCAGAAGTTCGCAAGAATTAAAAGAATAGTCTTCTAGATTCTGCCCCCTGATACTCGAAATCGAATATATAAAATGGCACAGTCAACATTGCCAGTATATTGTTTCCTCAACTTCAAGGATGTGCAAAGAGTAACTTCGCATGCTCATGTCGTTTTAGATGAATTTAGCCTCCGTTTTCGTAATAAAAGAAAAAAACTGCGAGGAAATTACAAAATGTAGAAGAGAACAAAACTGGTAAAACAGTCATCAAATTAAAATAAGCTTATTGATGAATATGAAAACGATGTTTCTGGCAACAGTACTTCATCAGGCTTCTAGTGGGTCTATTGTACTTTGTCTAACACGAGTTAAGCTTCCTGTAATTTCATTCAACAAAATTCAAAAACACGCTTGCCGCACAAATTATTCCACACTTAAGTTCCTTACACAGCATACGTTTACAGGTACATTTTTTCTTTGCATGCAACAATTCAAAAACCAAATTATATTCAAGTTCTAGCTTATCGAAATTACTTTCTAACAACTTGTGGGAATTGAACTTCAAAAGAGAAAAAAAAAGATCAAATATGAACTTGATTTTTGTTCTGTTAAGTAAACTCAGGTATAGAACTTATACGTTCAATCAGCTGAACTGGAAAGGACGTAAGTTTAGCGTTTTACCAAGCGTTTCTACACTTTACTCCTGGTGGTTGCTCACGCATGCAGCAGCTCGGGTTCCAAATAAAACGTGCTGTTTTTATGTCCTTTATATTTGATGTTGCTTCCTCTGCTTCAGCTGGAAAGCTGAATAGAACTACGCATGCTCCATAATTTGAAAACTTACGAAGAACACACGTGTTGTTTCAGAGTAAATAAATTTATTCTAACGGCATATCAGAAAATTATAAACCTCTGTTTCACCCACACATATCAGAGACATTACTGACAGGCTTCTAGAAGTTAGTTACCTAAACTAACCTATTTATTTTTAAACACGCTGAAAGCTTTCAACTTTATTGTTTGAATAGACTTAAAAGCATAAAAACTGGCTACAAAAGTGGCTAATACACGTCTTATTAAATTTACTTTTGAATACATAAGACGATTTTGAAAGTTAAATGACTTCGGTAAATGTACAACATTTTAAAACTTTTCGTTGAAAACAAACTAATAACATTTCCCAAACTCGTCCTTGAACAAGAGAATCAAAAAAAAAAAATAGAGGGTAATTTTTAATGGTTTAAAAACGAGTCGTGTAATTTTTAAACTGTACGTGACGTGAACCAAAAATTACGACTTTTACGTTGACGGATTTTTTATGATTTTTCATTAAATAAAATTATTATTCTGTTATATTTCGAGAAAGTGGAACTTGGTTCATTTCACACTCATTGAGGTAAAACGAGTTAAAATAATGAAAAAGGATTAATATCTTGAATTTTATCTTACCATCAAAATATGCCTAAATGAATATGTTACTCAAAATTGTGTTTCAATGTACACTGTGCTTAAGAAGAACTATAATTATTGTGACAATGTTGTACACGAATAGGGATTTTAAAACTGCCGAAACGCACGTTTAAACAGCACTCGAATTGTAGAAGAAAAAAAAAAAAGTTAAGAAGAGGATTTTGTTTGTTTGTTATAGTAGTTTCGTATGGTGTTTCTCACACCTCCAAATTGTTTTGGAGGTGAGTATCCGTGAGTGGGACTGGCGTCCTAGTCCGAACACTGGGTGAGCATGTTTTGGTGTGACGGGGATTCGAACCAGCGACCCTCACATTGCGAGTCGAGCGCCCTAACCACCTGGCCATGCAGGGCCTTTGTTTGTTATGAATTTCACGCAAAGCTACACGAAGGCTATCTGCGCTAGCCGTCCCTAATTTAGCAGTGTAAGACTAGAGGGAAGGCAGCTAGTCATCGCCAACTCTTGGGCTACTCTTTTACTAACGAATAGTGGGATTGACCGTCACATTATAACGTCCCCACGGCTGAAAGGGCAAACCCGTTTGGTGGGACGGTAATTCGAACCCGAGACCCGCAGATTGCGAGTCGAGTGCCCTAACCACCTGGTTTTGCAGGGCCTAAAAAAAATCTACTCACCGATGCATGTTCTCACAATCGAGCATTTGACAGCCGGAGTTTCAGTTTTATCGTTCTATTCACAAGGGGAACGAATTCCTCTCTATTTCCACTAAGTTCGAGCACTTTCTTTAGGTGACAACAGCAGAAAAATTATTATCTAATGCTTTTTAAAATGTCATGTTCTCAGGTGCACTGATTTTCCCTAAAATTATGCGGGTAAGATGCGCAGAATAACAGGAGGTTCGGCAGAGTTAACCTATATTATATGATTTAAGTGAGTTGTAAAAATGAACGAAACTGGACATAATGTGCAACAATGTGAAATAATCTTTATTTCAATAAAACATAACAAAGATAACAAGTGTGATGAAGGAGATCGCTTTTAGAGGAGCTTTCAAAGAAAACACGGCGTTATATACACAGATATGTAATGGTATTCTTTCTTAGGGCACATGCTAACCACATCACTGTTGGTCATTCAAATAAAAAAAATAAGGGAGGTTGTATCCTCAAGGTATCATATGACACACTAGTGAAAAAAATCACTATCTACCTCTATAGATATTATTAAATTTTACAGAAATCTCACGACAGGGCACATGTGATACCAAAGTGTGTTACCATATAACATAGGTTATTGAGGTGAAAGGTACTTGCTAATTATACTCTATATTAAAAATACACATGCTGTACGTACGAATATTTTGAAGAAAAAAAAAAGTTAAATAAGGATGGTAGGATGCTCGTAGTATGCCTGAATACTATAAGAGTGAGAAGAAGTCGTCTTTATGTTCATGATCATGTTACTGATATCATACTTCATTGAAACAATTAATACGTACGTAAAGAAATGTGAGGGAAAGTAAAAAAAACAAAACGAATCATTATAAACAAAAAAATATATTCAATATAAATTGGCAAAATCTAAATTATGGCTTCGTGCGTCTGGGCCCGGCATGGCCAGGTGGCTATGGCGTTCGATTCGCAATCTGCGGGTGGCGGGTTCGAATCTCCGTCACATCAAACATGCTCGCTCTTTCAGCCGTGGGGGCGTTATAATGTGACGGTAAATCCCACTATTCGTTGGTAAAAGAGTAGCCCAAGAGTTGGCGGTGGGTGGTGATGACTAGCTGCCTTCCCTCTAGTCTTACACTGCTAAATTATGGACGGCTAGCGCATATAGCCCTCTTGTAGCTTTGCGCGAAATTTAAAACAAACAAACAATTTAAAACAAATTCGTGCGTCTGAGACGCGGATTGGCCCTATGGAAATGAGTTGGATTAGAGACGGCTAGCGCAGATAGCCCTCCTGTAGCTTTGCGCGAAATTCAAAACAAACAAAGTCAGAACAAAGTCGT